AAAAAAAAAAAAAAAAAAAGATAAATCAAGAAATTGTAAACCTAATGCAGACATTATGTTTCATGGATAGTTTCCCTTAAAATATATCTTTCCCATAATAAGAATGTATTTGCATCTGTATAGATTAGTAAATAAATGAAACATTTTGATGACTGTTTATGATCTTGGAAGCAAAGTAGAAAATAAATTTTAGAGGCTGGCGCTGTGGTGCAGCGGGTTAACGCCCTGGCCTGAAGCACTGGCGTCCCAATATGGGCACTGGTTCAAGACCCAGCTGCTCTACTTCCCATCCAGCTCTCTTGTTATGGCCTGGGAAAGCAGTAGAAGATGGCCCAGGTCCTTGGGCTCCTGCATCCACGTGGGAGACTCAGAAGAAGCTCCTGGCTCCAGCTTTGGATCGGCACAGGTCTGGCCGTTGTGGCCAATTGGGGAGTGAACCATTGGATGGAAGACCTCTCTCTCTCTCTCTCTCTCTGTGTAACTTCGACTTGCAAATAAATTAATCTTTAAAAAAATAAAATAAATTTTAGATAAAAACTATGTAAATAACAGCTTTCTGGAAGTTAGAATGATGGAAAAGAAATAAAATGTGACATTTGTAACTTCAAAAGGAAAATAAATTAGGAAAAGTGCATTTATAGGTTTTTGATTTCTCCCTAAAATTGGAATATCTTAAAACATAGTTTTTGATCCTATATTTTAATGTTGCTTTATGAAAATTCTTTTTTTAAGATTTATTTTATTTATTTGAAATACAGAATTACAGAGAGAGAGGTCTTCCATCTATCTGCTGGTTCACTCCCCAGATGGCCGCAACGGCTGGAGCTGCGCCGATCCAAAGCCAGGAGCCAGGTGCTTCTTCCGAGTCTTTAGTTACAAAATTTCACCAAGTTCTTTGTTATTTTAAATAAATTCTAGTTCCCAGATGTAATCACTGTAGGAAGATTCCATCAGTGCAGAGGAAAGATCAGATTTAGTAGAATGAACGCAAGTAGAATGTGATCATATTGATTGGTATCGCATTTCTGATGTGTTTGGAGAGGGCAGTCTGTGAAGTGGAGTGTTTAATGTCAGAAAGAAGGGCCTTTCCCGTGTGCCTCTGTCAAGGCAACTCCAAAACCAAGACGTCATATTCTCTGCTGGTCTGTAGACTCCACTGATTTGCAAGCTGACATTCAAGGGCTCACTAGTATCCTCAGACGCATTATGTACTCACACAGAATAAAATTCGTTACTCAGAATAAAAATGGACCATGAAAAAGGGCCAATGTTGCAGCTTGGAAATGTAATGGCGATAGTAAAAGGGAGGCTAACAGATAGGAATAGATTTCTGTTGATACAATTCTTCTCTTGATTTATAGGAGAAGAATTTTTTGTCCTTGTGGGTTCCCTATTGCCCTCTTCCAATGTCTGTGACATCCTATATCTGTTGATAAGGAGCCATCTGTCGTTCTGCATTGTGAGATCCTCTGAGTGTCCTCACACCAGATTCCACCCCACAGCAGACCAATATACAAGAATGTAGCCTCCTTATGCATTAAATACAATTTTTATATTAAAAATGTAAATTTGAATAGTTTTGTATAATTTTTAGGAATTAGACTCATTGGTCATCATTTTGTAATTGGCTTTGTTTTCTCATCAGTCTCACATATTCTCTAAAATTCCATTGGATTGAGAAAAGTTAATCTACAAACTTTTCAAACTTAATGACTTTTATGAACATGACTAGAATGTTAATATACCTTATAGGTTTATAATTAAAAACTTCAGTTTTATAGTTTTGTATTTCATTTCATTTGTAAAGATTTATTTATTTATTTGAAAAGTGGAGTTGCAGAGAGAGGGAGAGGCAGAGAGAAAGAGATCATCCATCTGTTAGTTTACTCCCCAAATGGTCTCAATGTTCAGGGCTAGGCCAGGCTGGAGCCAGGAGCCAGGAACTCCCATGTGGGTGGTAAAGATCCAAGTACTTGGGGCCATCTTCTGCTGTTTTCCCGGGTGCATTAGTAGGGAGCTAGACTGGGAGTGGAGCTGCCATGATTTGGACCAGCTCTCCAATATGGGGTGCCAGTGTTGTAGGTGTCAGCTTAACCACAACAATTAAGATTGTGGTCAATCTTAGCCCCTATTTTAAACCAATCATTTTTACTTTATTTGGAAGACAGAGATAGACAGAGATAGGCAGAGCTGGTTCACTCCACAAATTCCCACAACATCCATTGACAGTAGCCCATGACTCCTGCTTCCAGGTGTCTGAAGACTTCTGCAAACCCTAGAACGTCTTTCCATGTGTCTTTCACTGAAGAGAATTGTCGTGATGTTGATGGGTCTGTTCCACTTAACAGTGATTTTTCCCAGTGATCAGGTATTCAGTGTTGTTAATCAAAGATAACAAGGTGATCTTTAATTCAAATAGGATGGAGCTAACAAGCGGCTATTGAAAACTAAGTTGGGCTGGCACTGTGGCATAGTGGGTAGGGACGCCACCTGCAGTGCTGGCATCCCATATGGTCGCCGGTTCAAGTCCTAGCTCTGTGCTATGGCCTGGGAAAGCAGTAGAAGATGGCCCAATGCATCTGCATGGGAGACCTGGAAGAAGTGCTTGGCTCCTGGCTTCAGATCAGCTTAGCTCCGGCCATTGCAGTTAAGTGGGGAGTGAACCAGTGGATGGAAGACCTCTCTCTCTGCCTCTCCTTCTCTCTTTGTGAAACTCTAACTTTCAAATTAAAAAAATCTTAAAAAAAAAAAAAAAGAAAACTAAGTTGGGAGTGCCACTGATACTGTACCAAGGGGAATGGCAGAACTTCACACTTGTGTCTGGAATCTTGATACTTTTTAAGATGAATCGTTCTTTTCTCTTTAAAAATTTTTCTTATTTTCATTTTATTTGAAAAACAGCGAGACAGAGATACAGATAGATGAGAGAGAGAGAGAGAGAGAGAGAGATCTCCAACTGCTGGTTCACTCCCCAGATGCAGGCAACAGCTGGGGCTGCCTGAAGCCAGGAGCCTGGGATGCGATCAGTGTTTCCCGTGGTGTGGTAAGGACCCCCATAACTGAAGCCCTCAGCTGGCTATGCAGGATACCCAGGTTGTGCATATTTTGCTCAGGGCAAAGGCAAAAAAAGTACAGGTCCCAGACGCAGCCTGTGCTCGTCTCATTCAAGATCTCACCAACTTTGGGAGGACATCATTAGACTAAAGTGATTCCATGGGAAGCTTGCCAAGCACATTTCTCATCTTCACTCTTTCTTTGCTCTCCTTGCTCTGGTCATGCTGAACTACCTTCAGTATGGCGGTGTAACACGTTCCCTCTTAGCTCCAGTTCCCTCTTAGCTCCAGTCTGTTTAGTGACATAATCTCTTCAGAGTTGAGAGCAAGGGGCTTGCAAGGGGTAACACCATGTAGACAAGAGGTGTATAGCATTTCATGACAAATTTCAAGTCACTGCCGCCATGCCTCCTCTTCTAAAATAGCTTCAGATTCATCCCACTTTTTGAGCTCTTTCGAGTAGAGGAGAACAACAGTACCGGGATTGGTGGATCCAACAGAGAAATAATTAGATGAACTAGAAGAATCCATGCGCAGCTGCCATCCTGGGCGGGGCCTCGGTTTCTTTGCTAAGCGTTGGCGGTGCTGATTCTTCCTCAAAAGGCGGCCTGACCGAGCCTAGGGCAGTGGCACCCTGTATGACCCCTCCCGTTCTTGCCACCATCTTAACCAGGATGAAAGCCAAAATGTTTTTGTAATAAGAAAAATAACCCTTAGATGAAAAACAATCTGTAAAAATAAAGTTTGCTTGTACACAACACACAATTAAAAGTGATCGATGTATTTCTGAGACTTCCTTTAGTCAAATTTCGACTTCTATGTTTTTAATTCTTCAAGTCCCCTGTGTGTACTGACTGAATGATAATAGCACTTTTTTTTTTTTTTAAATTTTTGACAGGCAGAGTGGACAGTGAGAGAGAGAGAGAGAGAGACAGAGAGAAAGGTCTTCCTTTTGCCGTTGGTTCACCCTCCAATGGCCGCTGCGGCAGGCACGCTGTGGCCGGCGCACTGCGCTGATCCGATGGCAGGAGACAGGTACTTATCCTGGTCTCCCATGGGGTGCAGGGCCCAAGCACTTGGGCCACCCTCCACTGCACTCCCTGGCCACAGCAGAGAGCTGGCCTGGAAGAGGGGCAACTGGGACAGAATCCGGCGCCTCGACCGGGACTAGAACCTGGTGTGCTGGCGCCGCTAGGCGGAGGATTAGCCTAGTGAGCCGCGGCACCAGCCAATAATAGCACTTCTACCTCTTCTAGACCTTGGCATTGGAAAACCTGATCTCTCTGAGTTCATTGCCTGTGTTTCAGAACTTTTTTGTAGACTTCTGAAGTGTTTCTACCTCAAATCCACCAACCCTTGAATAAGGAATTCAGGCTCATTTAAAAATCAAAGCAAAAAAAAAAAACGCTTCTGCTAGTATTGTTGATTACTAAGGATAAGACAGAGCAAAATGTTTTTTAAGTTCTTTCATACTTGCCTATTTAATGCTTCTGGATGGTAGAAGTGGAATAATTCCATTTAATCTCATCAAAATTCATGGAGAGTGGCTTAGTTACGCTATATGTTTGATAACATATGTGTCATATGTATTACACACATTATAGGAAATGGACATTTAGCCTAGCAGTTAAATTGCCCGTCAAGACACCTGCATCCCATGTTGGAGCGCCTGAGTTTGCTTCCTGCCCCTGGCTTTGTGACTCCAGCTTCCCATGAACATAGACCCGGAGGCAGCAGTGAAGGTTCAAGTGACTGGGTTCCTGGCACCAGATGTAAGACCTGGAATGAGTTTCCAGATCCTGGCTTTGCCCTGCCCCAGCCCTGGCCATTGCGGGCATTTAGAGGGATGGGAGCTTGATCTCATCTTCTATTTGTCTCTAAAATAAAATGATTTAACATATTAAACATATCTCATGAGTATTTGTGTTGAATAAAACAATAGCACAATAACAAATGACATTTTATTCTTTAAATGATTTTACAATGTCATCATCAATGCTAGTAGAAATATAGAACAGGCTTAATTTATCAATGACGAAGTCAGTTGTAATTCACTTGAAGGTGCCTGCTTTGCAAAGTAAGGCTTGTATACATAAAAATGAGAGTCTCCTATTTTGTAGAATTTAAATCTTTGCTTGTTAAATGTTGGAGCAAGGCACGGGCATTCCTATTAGCAAAGGCAAGAAAAGCAGACAGGAACCGAGAGGTCGCTGTACACATGGCATGTCGCATGCGCTGTGAGTGCTTTCTTCCTCCCGCAGGGCTGACAGTTCTGATTCTTCAGGATGTAGCAAGTCAAAGTAAAAGCACACATCAAATCTAGAGATATGTAAAAAACTTCAACTTCTATTTGAGGTTGATGTTTTTCCATTTGCAATTGGTATTTGCAATTTAAAAGAACGAAAATTCTCTCTACTAAGGTTTTTACACTTAGATATTGTAGGTTATTTTCATATTGAGTTTTAAGAAATGCTGCTTTGCTCTGTTTCTAGACTATTAGGAGCCACAATGTTTAGGTTCAATGTATCAGAACAGGGTTGATAATGGGGACCCTTTAAAAGCAAAAACATACAGAAAGGATTTGTTTCTCAAGGAATATTTCAACAAATAGGGACTTGCTTTATATTTCCATGCCATAGTCAAAGACAACATTTGATTTAATTGTTGTATTCAGGAAGTAGGTGTTTGTTTTCAGTACTGTGTGTGTGTGTGAGAGAGAGAGGGAGAGAGAATTATTTTTCATCTTAAGAGGACTGATTTCCTTGAGAACTCTCTAATTAGGAAAAATACTGGTTAAGATAATCTTTTTTACTAGGAATTGTATACTTTGTACATTCATGAGAAACGGAAGTAGATCATTGCTTAATAGCCCAATGGGACATCTGTTTAACCAGATGTTGTACTTGAGAGAAGCATAAACATGACTAAATTTACAAATACATTGATTATTCTTCCTTGTCCAGGAGGTTGAGCCAAAGTTTACACAGATTAGAGGGAAGGCTGAGTCTGGAAAAATTCAGAAATATTACATAAATGCAGAGAATGAAATACAGGATTCCTGGCATTTATTTTAATAATTATTTACAGAGCCTCGCGTTGCCTCACCTTGCGGCTCACATGCAAGTGACCTGAGTCACTCCGTCCTCCTGGTCAAACTGTCCCTCGTCTAACTCCCGGAGGACGCTGTCGCTGCTGCTGCCCCCGGAGAAGCCGCTGTTCAGGGCCGGCCGCCCCTCCCGCGTCCAGCACTCTCTGGAAGCGGAGAGGAGGCACTCCTCCGGCAGGGGTCTGCCCTCCGTGGGCGGTGGCAGGGCCGTGTCTGACCCCACGCTCCTGCTGCTGACTTTGCTTCTGTCTTCACTCTTCAAATGCCGGCTGCCCTTCCTCTGAAACACAGGACAGTGACGCCCGGGGGTTAGAATTCGGGGTTTCCCTGTCCCTCTGTGTGGGCACCCGCTGCTTCTCTGCCTACCGTGTCCTTCCCTGCTTCTTCTGAATCCTGCTCATCTTCCGGACCAGCTCAGAGCACCCCCCACCCCCGGCTCCCTCTCCTCCCACAGAAAAGGAGCTCCCTTGCTCTGTTTCCCAGAGTTCCCCTGGGCAGGTGAGCCAGACACTCGTGTGGGCCCTAAGTGACTTCTCCGAGGAGAGAAACCTGCTGACATCATACTTACGGGGGAAAAGGCAAGGTGGGGACACTAATGCATTTTCCTTCTTGGTGCTGCCTGGGATCCGAATAGCAGAAAGTGTGATTCGACAGCCACCTTCCAACCATGTTGCACATGCGCAGGCTGCACAGGGGAAGCCTGGCCAGCTCAGACTGAGCTTATTTTGAATGAATGTTTGGAATGTCATCCTGGGCCAAGTAGACCCCTTTCCTTGTCATGCTACCCCCTCCTTGACACACACGGTGTGGATATTCAGCAACTTGCTCTAGCTCATTCTTCAGGCTATCTGATAAGCCAATGGCATTTTTGCTAATAAATATTTGCTGAGGGCTGATAATGTCCCAGGACAGTTGAGAATTATGAGGACTCAGTCTCTGCCAGGGAAACCAAAGTCAAAATAACATCCCTAAGTCAGTGAAGGGAACGCTCAGGGAGAAGAATTAGCAGCACAACACGGGGATGTTCAGACTCCTGACGCAATTTTGTGTCAAGGGCTTATTTAATATTGAGAACATGACATATACTAGAGTAGGATCAGATATGCTTAGGCACATAAACCTGAACAAGGATTTAAAGATCAACTTTAAAAGTACAGGAACTTCCCAATTTACAAAGAGTTTACTGAAAATTAATTTATATGTTGCAGGGCCACTGAGAGTACAGTTTCCTAAATGTGAGAAGTAAGATTAAAAAACAGAAGTCAGATGCCCAGGCTGGACTTGCAAAAGAGTGTCAACCCAAAGTTTGTTGAACGGCAGTGCATAAAATATAAAAGTATTTTCTACTGGTTGTCATAGCAAAGTAATCAGACTCTGGACTTTGTGGCCCACTGTGGAACGTCACATAGTTCGGGACTTTGTACAGGGAGATGTAGCCTCCAGCATGTGGCATAGAAAGGAGCGTTTGGAACTCCTGAACAGCTTACTCTGCCAGCGCTGACAAGCATGGCCAGACTGAACGCCTTTCTCTAGCCTGGCTAGCAGCTTGCTTTCCTGCATGCATAAAAGTGCATGCACTCTTGAGTGATGCTCTCAACAGCATTGAATGAATCAAAATGGGAAGGTGGGGAGGCTGGGAGCAGTAGGTTGCCCAAGTTTTTACTTTGGCACCAGCTGCAGAGCCGAAGGTAAATTTTGCAGTAAATTCCTTATTGTGTGCTAGCTCATAGAGGCCAACTCTCCTAGCCACACTAAGGAGTTTTTTTAAAAATAAAAACTGGGTGTTATTCATAATAATAAATATATTCATAGTAATTCACTTTTGGATAAGCAAACAGCCACCAGATATAAATTTCAAACACTAGAAAGTGAAAAAATACTTAATACTGTACCTCCAAACAAGATTTCAGAACAGACATTTTCTTTCTTATCATGCGATTAAGTTAATACATCTTCAGCACCAATAATGCCTTTCCTACCAACCCTCAACCTACATGACATAATAGTATCTTCAACAAACTAAATGGTAGTGTTCTTGTAACATAGAATATAGGAGTCTAAAGCCCAACCAGTCTTTGGAGATTATCTATTTCAGTCTTTTGGGGCTGGTGCTGTGGCGTAGCCGGTAAAGCCGCCGCCTGCAGTGTCGGCATCCCATATGGGCGCCGGTTCTAGACCTGGCTGCTCCACTTCCGATCCAGCTTTCTGCTATGGCCTGGGAATGCAGTGGAAGATGGCTCAAAGGCTTGAGCCGCTGAACCCGTGTGGGAGACCTGGAGGAAGCTCCTGACTTCTGGCTTCGGATCGGCTCAGCTCCGGCCGTTGCAGCCAATTGGGGAGTGAACCAGCGGATGGAAGACACCTCTCCTCTCTCTCTGCCTCTCCTTCTCTCTCTGTGTTACTCTTTCAAATAAATAAATAAATCTTAAAAAAAATTCAATCTTTTTCTTCTGCAGAATGGGGTGGGGACCCAGGCTCAGAAAGAAGGCAGAATTTGTTCAGGGCCGGTCATGGATAGCTGAACTTGAACTGCAGCCTGAGTCTCTTACCTTATTATTTTTTACACATTCTATTTCCCACATTTTCAAAAATATGAGCAGATTTGCATCCTGTACACCTCCTTTTCTGGTGCACGGTGAGCAGGTGGCCCAGGCAGAACCAATTTAGTCATTCCCTGGGATTGCTATACTGACTCTGGTAAAGAAACTCTTCCTTTTTGATGAGACAGCCAAGTTCACATTCTGGAAGCCCTCTGCACATACACACATATGAGGAGTCTTCAAAGAGCTTATGGAAATACACATTATGGAAAAACTATGCTTGGATTTTAAAATATTTTCTTGCATCAAAATAACCTTATCTTTAATTTTACAGATTTATTTATCTATTTTGAGAGGTAGAGTTACAGACAGAGAGAGGGAGAGACAGAGAGAAAGGTCTTCCATCGCTGGTTCACTCCCCAAATGGCCACAATGCCGGAGCTGGGCTGATCCGAAGCCAGGAGCCAGGAGCTTCTTCCGGGTCTCTCACACAGGTTCAGTGGTTCAAGCCTTTGGGCCATCCTCCACTGCCTTCCCAGGCCACGACAGAAAGCTGGATCGGAAGTGGAGCAGCTGGGACTCGAATTGGCACAAATATGGGCTGTTGGTGCTGCTGGCAGAGGCTTAGCCTTCTATGCCACAATGATGGCCAAAATAAACTTATCTTTAAAAAAATGTTTATTTCAAAGGTAGAGAGAGAGAGAGAGTGAGTTTCATCTGCTGGTTCATTTCTCAAGTGAATGTGACTGCTAGGGCTGGGCCAAACAAAAACCATGTGGGTGACAGGGCTCTCCCAGGATGCATTAGAAGGAACCTGGATTGGTAGTGAAGTAGCTGGGACTCAAACTGGCATTTCAGTGTTGGTTATAGGTGCCCCAAGCAGTAGCCTAAGCTGTTGGGCCACAATACCCACCTCCTTGCCACCTTTCCTTTAATACTGCCCCCACCCCATGACACCCATGATTTATCAGCTGGGCATACGGTGTTCCACTGTGGTACCAGCACATAGTTGCTCAGATCATATTCTCAGTCTCTCTCTCTCTCTCTCCCCCTCTCTCTTTTTTGAAGTGAACAGTAACCATAAGATTTTCTTGTCTTCGTAATAAAACAGAAGATGAAGCTTAGAACTGGATTGCTTGGCTCTGTCTCTTCTTATCTCCTCCCGTTTGGAATGTTTATCTCCATTCATAGCCAACATTCTCTTAGATCTGCAGCTGGGCTCCACACACTCAACCCTCAGCACAATCTTCATTGTAGTTTTAGCCTTTTTCTGAAAAATCAGCTTAGTCTGCCCGCGGAGGCCACTCTGCTTCGTCGCATCATGTCAGTCTTCCTGGACATATGGGGAATCTGCGCATCTTATACTGTGTCACTTTGTGGGGGCTGGTGTTTGCAAAGCTTCTTACAGAAGGTCAGTGGGTTTTACGAACATTCACCCTGTCTGCCAGAGCGCCATTGGCATGAGAATGCTCCCAGCTTTTCTTGCTAATGTACATGGCAAAATAAATAGGTTCAGGCCAAAGGAATGTGAGAAGAAATGATGTCTGTGATTGGCGGGGGTGGGGTGGGGTGGGGGTGTCACTGCCTTAGATGCATGCGTGGCATGTCTCTTTGCTACTTGTCACTGGCTGGACATGGTAGCAGCTGCTGCAGAAGTCTGGGGTTCAGAGGCTGGAACCAGACGTTGAGGTGGCAGAGCTGACAAGTCAGGAGGCAGAGCCATTACTGGCCACAGAGTGCCTACCCATCTTCAGGCCATCAGAGACAGATAAAGACTCTTCTACGCTAGTTAGGCCTTCTTGACTAGGTCTTCTTGTTGAAGCAACTTGGGAATTAGCTGTCTACTCAGTAAGAACTAACACAAATATGTTGATGACTAATATTTTTAAACTTTTGTTTCCCCCAATTTCAAATTATGAAAATTTTTAAGTGTACAGAAAGTTTAAAAGATAGTATAATGAACATCTATATACCCACCACCCAGTTTGACACTTCCTAATATTTTGCCACATATTTCGTGTGTGTGTGTTTTGGACCATCAAAAAATGGGAATATACTACATTTATTCATATAACTAAAGGTAATTTTTAAAATTATTGTTATTTGAGAGATAGAAAGAGATAGATGGATTCAGAAAGAGAGAGAATGAGGAAGAGAGAGCAAGAAAGCGAGCTTACATCTGCTGGTCCACTACCCGAGGAACTGAATCCAGTCTGCCACATGGGTGGAGAGGATCCAGTTACTTGAGCCATCACCACTGCCTCTCAGGGTCTGCATTAGCAGGAAGCTGGAGTCAGGAGCCAGAGTTGGCCCTGAACCCAGGAACTCCACTGTGGGATGTGGGTGTCTTTACTGGCATCTTAACCACTAGGCCAAAAACCTACCCCGAACGTAATTCTTAGCTGGAGAAATGAAGGATCATATGGCGTTTTGGTAGTTTTCTCCCTTCAGTTAGTAGTATTTAATCATCCGGTATTGAAGGAAAAACATTTCTATGAAAACAATGGCAACATCTCATGTTACCAGGCACTGTGCCAAACACATCTACTTAAGTTTTCTGAGTCCTCTTAGGAGCCTTGTGATATGTAGTAATGTTACCCATACTTTATGGAAGAGGAAATGGAGGCTTGGAGAGGTACCAGACAGTTTGCATGCCTCCTTCCTCACCCCCAACCCCCAGAATTCCTCTTATGGTTGTCTACTCCTGGGACCACCACTGGATGGGAACCTTTTTCTGAGT